GATGGGTGACTAGTTTTACCTTAGACTAGACAAAGACAAGTCGCAAGTGCACGGCCATCGAAGTAGTACTTAAGGGTCGAATCTACAAGAGACTGGTAGGGCACTAAAAGTTTTAGGAAGAGAATTAAGTTAGGATGAAATATAGGGGTAGTGATGATGCGATTAAATAAATGTCAATGGTAAAACAATGGAAACAAATATTGGGCAACACATAAATCTTAGGGTTCCTATAGCAATTTATTCAGGAACTATTAACACATATATAGTCATGTATGCAATCCAGTCATTTATTAACCAAAATATTCTCATATCAATGATTAAACATGTCTAATAACCTAATTCATTCAGGTTATAAAAGTGAAAAGGTAAATACGCCGCAGAAGTTGATACAAAGCTCATCCAATGTAAATATAGCAAAGGGGGATTCCTAACTCGAATTCACTTGATAATTAGTCAACTGGCTCTCGCAATGATGACTAATATATCAATCAACCTAATACTCGACTCTCGTACAACAATCAGATAGATAGATATGCATAGCACGGATTAAGATTCGATATGTTAACATGATCCTTAACACGACTCTCGTAATGATAAAGCTCAAGCTCATCTATACTAGTTCCAATCAATCAATTTTGACTCTCTAACACGACTCTCGTAATGATAAGGTTGAAAGATTTCTCCCTTGAAGATCAATACGTAAAAGCTCGATAAAAACCCTAAAACTAAAGAGTTCAAGCCAAAGGCTCTCCCCCAAGAGAAACTTGGAACTATGGTGGTGGCTGTGAAGGTGATCCTGATTTTCGTGCATCCTTCTGTTTAAATAGGTGAGGAAGTCGGCTAGGTCTATCCCCAAGAGATTTAGGGATATTCTTCGAATATTTGGAAATCTACCTTATTTCCGTATATTGAACGTATTTTCATATCGCATGGACGGATTTCTACGATCGAATATGTTGTGTGAAGCTGAGATCCTTGTTTATCTCGTGGAAAAATTTGAGCTCGATATAACGGTGGAAACATCTTCATCTGAGGCGAAATATCTGACGGACAGAATCTGTCTTTTCTTTAAAAAAGTTTGTTTCTCCTCTTTTTAACCCCAAAATACTCCAATTACCTCCAAAAGCTTTAAGACCACGAAAATACTAGAAATAGCAATTAAATATCAAAATCAAGTTATTTATTAATTAAAAACTCATTTAAAACATAGTAAAAATAGGTAAAATATGACGTATATCA